TTTTTTTTTTATATATAAACAATTTTTTTTATTTCAACAACAAAACAACATAGACATACCACATAAAACATAAAAATATCATCCTTCTTCATAAATTTACAAACAGTGCATCGATTGGTTTACCACTTTTTTTGTGCATCCATTTCCTAGTCACTAATATAATTATATTACATAATAGCTCATATTATCAATCAATAATTGTATAACCTAATATCATCACTAAAAAAATCATTTATCTATAATTTTATTAATTCATATTTTAACGAGATAACTATAGTTTACTTAGTTTATTTTGCAATAAATCATAAGATCATACCAAATCTATCTTGATAATGTTTTATAAAGATAATATCAAGAAGAAAAAAAGGAAAAAAAAATTTTTTATGCTAAATCTGAATATTCTATTATTATTATCTGAGCTATTTTTAATGCTCACCTCTGGTGAAAGATCTCTACAAATGAACTTCTATCTAGAGGAAAAAGCCAGTGAATTACCTCTCTAAAGCAAATGCACATCAGTGCTTGAAATTGATGTTAATGGTAGGCAATGAAGAATGCATCTTTCAGTATGCACCTTTGTTTTCTTATAGTTCTGAACAGGTTGTGGCTTTCTATGGCCATTTTGGAATAAAAACAAAAGGGATTGCTTTCCATTGCACTTCATTGAGTGTGGGTGGTCTCGGAGCAATGATAGCCTCACAGTGATGAGACAGGGTAATTTAAGCTTTTGCTCTCTCCTGGCTCTCAGAGGTATTATTTTCTTGTTGTTGCTGGAAAGATGCAGTTTCTGGTTGAGCTGCCTTTGAAGAGTCTTGAAGACTTAACTCTAGTCTTTTACTGGGGCACACTGGGGAGTGGGAGGAGAGAAGGAGGACCGGTAATCTAAAGCCTACATTAGGATGGGTTCAGAAGAAACATTTCATGTTTTGCTTTTGTTTAAAATGTTCACTTATTGTTTAAGGCAGGTGGAGAATATTTATGGGCTTGAAAAGATCTGGAGTTACTACAGAGGAAGAGAAAGGCTTAGCCATTGTTGCCAAGTCCTTAAGCCTAATTTGGAACTACAAGCAGTCCTCGGTTTTTGTCCATTCATTTAGTGACTGTTGAAAATTATGGCAGTGCTGAAATGGACTTACAAACTGTCCTTGAATTTCCAGCCATTGCCGTGTTCTGTGGTTATGTTTTCACAATCCAGGCGCTTGGGAGCCTGGCTCACGATTATAGCATTGCAGTGAGCTACATTATGTGATCACCATTCGCAAGTCACCCCAGTAGATTGCCCCCCCTCCCCAATTTTCTCCTAAGGAGTCCACTATAAAATATGAGCCTCCCAGGGTCTTGTACTCTAAAGCAGCCTCTGTGCCTATACTGCACAATGGGCACCCACTTGCAGAACTTCCTGTGGCCTTCCCAAAGCTTCTGCTGGCCTTCCCATGTTTCCTAGCACCTGCCTGCAGAACACCTTAAGCCCTGCATACCCCTGTGTTCCTTACCTGAGTCTCCCACCTTTTCCCACATGCGCATTCTGCAGTTATGATGGCTGCTGGGATTGTTGTCACTAAGTGATGCGATCACATAATGTCATCCTTTACAAACACATCGCTTAACTGTGCGATCCCAGTCGCTTAGGACTTTATAGTCATAAGATTTCTCTGAATCTCCCATTCAGTATTAACCCAGGTCTGTCAGTGTTTAGTTTTCTGAAATCAGCCAAAGGTGGCCAGTTACTGCAACGCATCATCACACATCTTTGTAATATTCTATTCACTCAGCAGAGAGATAACAGATCGTACAGACTGTAAAATGTGATTAATAAAACAAGATACTTTATCCTCGGAAAGGTTAGGACCACCCAGTTGATTTCAATATTTTGAAATAAGTACCGTTGTATAAAAAGAACTGGGAAAACAAGACGGAATGCTTAATTTTGAAAAATATATAAAAACAAAATTCAAACTAAGATTGAACATGGTAGCTGCTGCAAGGATATTCTGTTTCTTATTGGAAAGTACATGCTGTTCTCTCGGTAGAGGAATGGCTAATTAACTTATGGCAGTAGACACACAGATGTCTAAAATAAGTTTGTATTTCAAAAATAAATCTGGTACAGAACTCATATGGGGGACCATGTTTGGATTATAATTCTGTAAATGGGTTTTAGGTGCACCCAAAATTTGGTTTCTCTTAATATAAGGTCTTAATATTGTAACTTTCTAGATTTGCTAAATGAGAATAAATTTCCGGTACTTGGATAGAATTTACTATAGCTTTTTAATTTATTTTATGATTTATACTGTGTTGATTATTGCTGTGTTATTCATATATTGAATGGATTTCAAGAGCAATCTGCAATTTTCGGGGCAATATAATATATCGAGTTACTTCAGTTAATGAAATGTTGAAACTTTTAATTTAATTCTAGGATACGTGATAAATTGGGTTACAAAGTGAAAGCCTTCCATTGGCTGGAATTTCTGCAACCTTATCCAATTCCAATTCCATTAATCTAGTTAAAGTCAACTCTGGGAGAATCTTGCTATCAGCTGAGTCAGCTACTGAGACCTGATAATCTCTATATCATGGGTCTGATTGCTGTAAACACCACTCACCTAAATAATAATACTGTATATATTCATGGATAAACTAAGAATTTTAGATGCTGAACTATATCAAAAAGACAGGTTCCACTTATTCAAGCCAACTCTTGAATATTTAACCAAAATACAGGTAGTCCTTGACTTACGACCACAGTTGAGCCCAAAATTTCTGTTGCTAAGCGAAACAGTTAAGTGAATGTTGCCCTATTTTATTACTTTTCTTGTCACTGCTGTTAAGTGAATCACTACTGTTGTTAAGTTAGTAACATGGTTGTTAAGTGAATCTGGCTTCCCAATTGACTTTGCTTGTCAGAAGGTCACAAAAAGTGTTCACATGATCCTGGGACACAGAGAGTGTCATAAAATATGAACCAGTTTCCAAGCATCCGAATTTTGATAATGTGATCACTGGGATGCTGAAACGGTTGTAAGTGTGAAAAATGGACACATAACTCACTTTTTTCAATACTGTTGTAACTTTAGACAGTCACTAAGTGAAAGATTGTAAGTCAAGGATTACCTGTACCATGAAAAATGCACCATTCACAGATAAACTAACCTTCAACATCTATCGGAGTTGGAGACTATACATCTTGAAGTTGCTGAGGTTATGAAAGATTAGATTGACAGTCCTTGAAATCACTTCTAACTCCATAATTCTATGTTCCTTCAGTGTCAGGAGTGGGAACAACACTGATAAAATGGATAGGTCCTTATCCCAAATTATATTCTGCTTTAGATGATTAAAATGTAAATGGAAGGAGTGATCAGATATTAGCATTGACTATTGCACTACATGCTAAATCTAGTGATTATTTTTCTTGATCTGCACGATACGTCAAATAATAAACTAACAAATAGGCTTGATTTGCATATCAAACTAGGGCATGAAATGGAGCAAAGAAAACTGCAGGTACTAGTTATTTAACTGATCTTGTTAAAGATGTGCAAACACATCAGTGGATGTTAAGACTGAAAAGGAGGGAACTGAGATGTTCAGTGTTCCAAGATATGACGGTCACCAATTTGGATGGCCTTAAAAAGGAAATGGATTCATGATTATATCTTATAATGTATGTTTTATCACTTTGTTGTTTGTTGTACATGAGACCTTATGCACTGGAGACAAATTCCATGTATGTCCAATCATACTTGGCCAATAAAGCTATTCCTATTCCACTCCACTTCTCTCCACCCTACCCTACCCTACCCTACCCTACCCTACCCTACCCTACCCTACTCTACTCTACTCTACTTTACATGGGCAATAGGTTTATCAATGTTGAAGACTCACAGTTACCTTTAGGTTGGAGTCAGCAGGCCTAGTGGGAGGAAAGGAAATGCCTTCATCTCTTGCTTGGGCACCTCAGAGACATCTGGTTACCCACTGTGAGAAACAAAGTGTTGGACTAAGAAGAGCTTTGGACTGATCCTACAGAGTTACTCTTATATTCTCAGGAATGATGTAATATAATATTGAAGTGTTTACTTTCTCCAGCCAGCTGAATATAATTGTCTGGTAAAGAGTTTTTGGACTCTTGAAAGACTGCATATTTTTTGTGAATGTTCAGTTTGACTATGGTAGTTAAAAATATTGCTTTAATACAGATTTTTAATACAATTTCTTCTTTTTGTACCCTGCCTGATAAGCATTTCTGCATCACTTGGAGGCTTGCATTCTTCAAAAATGTTTTTTGTCTTTCTTTCACTTTATGGCAAATATTATAATTACAGGTAGGCCTTGACTTATGTTTACAATTTGGGACCAGATATTCCATTGCTAAGCAAATCGTTATTAAGTGAATCAAGCCTGATTTTATGATTTTTTTTGCCACAGTTGTTAAGTAAATGACTGCAGTTATCATGCATCATTCTGGCTCCTACCATTGCTGGTCAGAAACCCCCATGGGAGGTCACAAATGATGATCACATGACCCCGAAATGCTGCAACCATTGTCAATACATGCTAATTGACAAATGTCCAAATTTTGGTCACATGACCATGGGGATGCCGCAATGGTCATAAGTCCAAGCACCAGCTGCAAGTCACTTTTCACTGCTTTTGGAACGGAACAGTTGCTGAATGCATGGTCATGAGTCAAGGACTACCTGAATTCATCTTGGCCTCACATTGTTTTTTGGAACTGAAAAATGACTGTTTTTAATGTTGCTATTAATTGATTTCCCCCAGCCTTACACAAAGCCCAATGAGTGTGTGTGTGTGTGTGTGTGTGTGTGTGTGTGTGTGTGTACATACATACATACATACATTATATATATATATATATATATATGTGTATAAAATTCTTTCCATCAAATGATTTAACAGGTTGGTGGAACCAAAACTGGTGTGGTGCGCTATGTAGGGGAGACGGATTTCGCCAAAGGGGAATGGTGTGGTGTGGAGTTGGATGAACCTCTGGGAAAGAACGACGGAGCTGTTGCTGGAACAAGGTAATTGTAGACACCTTTGGAACTATTTAGGCCACCAAGCCCAACATTCTGCTGAGTGCAGACTCCAATTTAATACATCTCTGTCGAATGTCTGTCCATCCTTGGGTTGAAATCAACATCAGAGAAGACACCTACTTCTCTGGGGGAATGAACTGCACTGAAAAATCACTTTCTGGTTGTTGGGTCAAGGTTTTTCCTAACTTTCTTCCAGACTTCCTTCGAAAAGTTAACCCATTATTTTGTCTCCTGAACTCTGAGGGTCAGAAGATGCATGCTTTCTTTAGAGCATACAGGGATGTCTTCTTATATCTCCCCATCCCACTCCCATCTGTTCTCATTGTCTTCCTGTCAGGTTTGATTTTCCTCCCCATGATGCTGTCTGAGCATGGATGAATGCCTGCCCCTGATTTAGTGTGTGGCATCCTTGAGCAGGTGTTGGAACTGCAGTATGCAGAGCGACCTGTTAGGGATGCTGACACGTGTTCTGCCTTCCCATAATTTGAAATAATTGAGATTTGAAATGTTCTTCTTGGAACAGTGCAAAAGAGTGCATGCATTACTTGTCCTTATGCACACAGTAAGTGTTCCTGGGTGGTCTACAACCAAAGCAAAATATGCTAAGAGGGAAGGAAGTGAAGGATGCTGACCATTGCTTAAAAGATGATTGGGAGATGGTGAGATATGACGATGTGGTAGGGGAGAGCGGGAACGAAATATACCATCTTGTTTTGTTTAGCCGAAACATGACACTACCAAGGTCTTCTAATCTTTGGTTCTAATGAACCATGGGTGGCCTGAAATTGTTAGATTCCAGATCATGATGTCTTGTTTTCAGTTCAAAAAAATAATACTAAAAGAAGCATTTTCCTCAGTTCAAGTGCCTCAACTTATGACCACAACTGAGCCCAAAATTTCTGTTGCTAAGCAAAGCAAGTGAGTTTTGCCCTATTTTGCTCATGCTCCATGAGCCACAGTGGCGCAGTGGTTCGAGTGCAGTACTGCAGGCTACTTCTGCTGACTGCCAGCTGCCTGCAATTTGGCAGTTCAAATCCCACCAGGCTGATGGTTGACTCAGCCTTCCATCTTTCCGAGGTGGGTAAAATGAGGACCCAGATTGTTGGGGGCAATAGGCTGACTATGTAAACCGCTTAGAGAGGGCTGTAAAGCACTATATAAGTCTAAGTGCTATTGCGATTGCTATTTTACAACCTTTTTGCCACATTTGTTAAGCAAACCACAGTGGGTGTTATCCATATTCATGTCAGAAGTCCCTAAAAAGCTAACCGAAGGGTTCTTCTGGGCTGAAAGGATTTGTCAATGACAACACCATTGCCCAGGGGACACCCAATTGCTAAAAATAATGTAGTCTTTAAGGAGGCTTCTTTCATGTCTCCCAGGAGTTAAGCGAATCATGTGGCCGTTTGTTAAGCAAATCTGAATTCCTCATTGACTTCGCATGTCAGAAGCCGGCTGAGAAGGTTACAAATGGTGATGACATGACCCCTGGGAATCTGCAACTCATAAGTACATGCCGGTTGCCAAGAATCTGAATTTTGATCTCGGGTGTATGGGGATGCTGCAGTGATTGTAGGTGTGAAAACCGGTCCCAAGTCACTTTTTGCTGTGCCATTGTAACTTGGAAAAGTTACTAAATGAATGGTTATAAGCAGGGGTGGGGCTGCTGGAGGTTTGCAGGGGTTCAGGAGAGCCCCTAGCTAAGATTCTGTGCAGTTTGGAGAACTTCCAAATCCCACTCCTGGCTGGCCCCGCCTACCCTGCCTCTCCCCTCCCAGGGGTCCCCACGTGGCCCCTTTTGGATGCAGGTAAGTGCAGGGTGTGCGTGGAGGCTCGGGGAAGGCAAAAAAAAACCCAGGCCTCCCAGAAGTTCAGGAAGGCCGAAAATGGGCCCATTTCCGGCTTCTAGAGAGCCTCCAGAGCCCAGGAAGGCTGTTTTCACCCTCCTGGAGGCTTGAGAAAAGCCTCCAGAGCCTGGGAAGGGCAAAAACGCCCCCTGCGGTGGTGCAGGAGGCCGACTAAGCCACGCACACCACGGCCACACCCACCTAGCAACTGGGCAGAGACCCCTTGCTAACATTTTTGAAGCCCATCCCTGCCTGGTTGTAAGTCAATAGATGCCTGTAAGTCTATAGTTCTTTTGTTTTTATTTCACACAAAGCCCTGGTGCAACGGGTGTTCTAGCCATAGTGGAAAATCAAAGTCTTATCTACGTTTCTTGGCACTCAGCACTACACAGAAGCTATCCATTGCTGTCACCACAACACACCCACAAGATCAGAGGACACTCATCATCAGAGAGAGATAGGCTTTGTCGGTGACTCAGCCCTGCATGGATGCATCAGTCAGTTTCTTGGTGTTGTTTTTCTCTCACACTGGTAATATTCTAGAGCCTTTCAAGGGCAGCAGGATTCGATTGGTAGACTGAGTCCAATTGCAAGTTAAGGTCTGTGATAATGAGGAGGTTATGCTTATGAATGTTGGGATTTGCAGCCCCCAAACATCTGGAGAACGCCAGGTTAGAGAAGGCTGGTCTGTCGATCGCTATTTCGTTACGTGGTATGGAAGAGCAAGGAATGGCTTGGCAGGGAAATGTCTTTGCCACTAGAGCCCCTCCCTTTTTTTTTTTTTTTTCCTGACATCTCGCTGAAAGCATCCAAACAAGTGTTTTTGTATTTATTTGGAAAAGGCAGGTGGAAGCCGTGGTTTGCAGCTGGCCTCTTCTCCCCAGCACGGCACAGTTTTCCTTCAGCTTTCAGTGCTAATGCTTGAGCAATTCCTCCTCTATGCAGGCAGACAGTTTGGGACAGCTGCCAGCTCTCTGTGTGTGCTTGTGGGTATCCACAAATTGGAAGCAATGTTCTGGAACAGCTGCTCACATCTGGGCAAATGACTTGGCAGGACTATAAAAACCTTCCCTTGGTTTTTCACTATTTGCTGCCACATCATATTACTGGCAATTCCAAACCTCCCCCCGTTGTTCCCTCCAATTTTCTGCGGCTTGCCTTGATTTTCATTCTCTTTTTGTGGAAAAGGTGCCATTGTTTTGCCTTCTGGCCATTGGAAATGTGAGAGCAGCTCTTCTCCGTTTGAAAAACTTTGGCTTTCCAAATCTTCACCATCTATAACTTTGGGTAACTACAGTCCTAACTGAGGATAATGGGAATGAAAAGTCCCTTTATCAGAAAACATCAGATATTGAAAGTCTGGCTAATATATTGTTGATAAGAATAAGGAGAGGGAGGAGGAGGGAGGGTGGGGAGAGAGAGAGGAGAGAGGGAGGGAGGGAGAGAGAAAGAGAGAGAGAACAAAAGCTAAATTACAGGCATAGGATGTTATCATACAACAGCTTTGTTGTTTATAAATACAGGTAGTCCTTGACTTCCAACCACAATTACAGTTGGAATTTCTGTTGCTAAGTGGTGTGGCCACAAAGCTCAATGTCACAAAATTGCATCACTTAGTGGCAGTCTCTGTTGCCACTGTTAACAGGATGACATTATTAAGCAAATTCCACCCCATCCAAGCCATTCTGGCCTTGATCCCTCTCAGCCCCGAGCCTCAGTTCTTCTACCTCCCCTTCAACTCCCTGTCAGCGTTCCAGCAAACCTCCATTCCAGTCAATAACTCCGAGACAGACATATCTCAAAGGTACCTTTATTGGGAAATAGTGACTGGCACATCTGTGGAATCCCAAAACTGAAAGTTCCGGGCTTCTTTGCAAAAGTCAAAACTACAAATCCATCCCCCCTTATCCATCACCACATCACATGGTCCAATCATCATCCGTCCTAAACTAAGATTCCCATTTCATTATATGCCACACTCAGTGACCTTGAACCAAACAAAAGAATTTTATTTTGTCTAACTAGATATACTCAAATGAATTCCTCCCTCCCGCTTTCTCAGGCTCAGTTGTGGCAGCATGGGAGCATCGCATCTCAATATGGCTTCCAAAGCTGACACTCCCCAGAATTGCCTATTCACTCCATCTCTGCCCATTTGGCTGACCTGCACCCTGTTTTTGAGGGATTGGAAAGCAGCCCCAAACCACACAGCTCTGAGGCTGTTTGTCAAGCTGTGTCTGAAGGGTTTCTTAGTGCTTCGGGGCTTCCAGAAGCCTCTGAGCAACAGTGCGAAGCCACAACCATCCCTGGAAATTTCAGCCACCCCAATCTTGTCCAGCAGAGTGAAGCAAAGCCACCATGCCCCAGGACGCTCCAACCGTGCGGCGCGAAGCTGCTGTGTCCCAGGAAGCTTCAAGAGTTCAGTGCACAGCCACCTTAACCTGGAAAGCTTCCAACAGTGAGGCACAAAACTGCAGAATCGCAGGAAACGCCCCACTGTAGTCCCATTCTCAGTTGCCCTTGCAATCCAGCCTCTCCAGCTGACCTTAACCACCATCTTGCTCCCACTGCTGATAAGTTGTGCCCATCCTGGCCCTTTGCAAGGCAGTTGTTGGCCACGTGAAGCCACCTTCCCCAGGACTCACAAGAATGACATGTGCTGTTTGAAGTGTGATGCGACGAGTGGCCTTGGGAAGGAGGCCTGGTGTGGCCAGCAGCTGCTTCACATAGAGTCAGGCTGGGCATGCAGTGGAAGGAAGACCCCAAAGGGCAGCTGGTTCTGGCAGGTTCTATGGAGGCCAGGGCAGCTGGTGGGGTGGGGGGCGGGGGGCAGCTGGGCTTCTGCACTGTGATGTTGGGGTTGCTGGCCATGGTGTTAGGATTGAGGCAGGATTTCTCAGTGGAAGTGCCAGCACTGGGCTGAAGTGGAGGCCTAGAGGTGATGGTGGCAGCTGGCTGAGACTGCTAAAGTCCTTATGCCTTTACTTCAGTCACAGCCTCATTACGGTCACCCAGGAATGCTGCTGGGCAGGCTGGCCACAGATGTGGGAGAGATAGGTGGGTGGGGAAGGGCAGAAGTACCTCTGCAGTCATAAGTGCAGGGAAGCTGCTGGGCCCCTGAATTTACAAGTTACAGCGACATTGAAAAAATTAGTTATGACCGTTTTTCAAACTTACAACCATTACAGCACTCTGTGGTCACGTGATCAAAATGTAGGCACTTGGCGACTAGCATGTGACAATTGCATTGTCCCAGGATCACATGATCACTATGTCAGGGCTCTGGCATCCACCCCCATTCAAATCATGATTCTCTCAGAGTTAAAAAAAAAATCATGTATTAGGAGTGAACATGCCAGCGTTACTTGAGTGTAGCCGACTCTGAGATACATCATTCATTTTACCCTTGACCCTGGTCTTCCCCCCACCCCCTGGATGTATATTCTCCAATGGGACATATCTGTTGGGTATAACATTGATACACCAACTAAGTTTGGGTGAATAAATATATAAAAGCAAGGTTTGGGTGTTTGTAACTTGTAGCTTTAAGCACCAAACTGCTTGTAATTAACTAATTAAGGGTGCGGTTACAAACGGCAATAAAAGGCAGTAAGGGAAACGTAACCTCTCTCTGCTTGTTATGTCTGCTTGCTACTGTTTGTTTGCTACTGTTTGCTACAACTGTTTGAATACCTGAACGAAAGGACTATTTCATTGATGTGCTGATATCCTGTGAATACTCAGCGTTGTCTTCAAAAGGAAAGGTATCAGAGGAGAAGATATCTTTATAAGCAGATAAGGATATAGAACTGACTAGTGAATGAACTAAGTTACTGAATGGATATATTTGTGAATGACATATGGACTGATTGACAATGTTTAAACTCTAATTGGATTAAACAACTATTTAAACTACAAAAAACAGTGTTTGTCATCAGTGTGTGTAAACTCTAGGGCCCTTCCTCTCTCATTTGGCTGCCTGGCTTGACTGCTGCTGCACATTCTGTTTTTTGGGGGTTTGTCCCCAATCACTAACAATATCCATAGTTGATGCACTATTTGTAACCTCCCCAGCTGGCCTCTGACAAGCAAAACCAATGGAGGAAGCCAGATTCGCTTAACGTTAACAACTGCGTTATTCACTTAACGACTGAATGATTTGCAGTGAAAAAAGGTCATAAAATGGGACAACGCTCATTTAGCTATCTTGCTTAGCAATGGAAATTTTGGGCTCAATTATGGTCATAAATCAAGGACTATGTGTGTACCTTGATTATCATACTTTATTGGGCATTTTAATCAATTCATTGTAGTGTTTCGATTATCAGGTATTTTTAAAAAGACATTTAAAATATTTTTTCTGATAATCGAAACACTATAATGAACTAATTAAAATGTTTGTTTCCTTTTGAAATACCTGCACAATATACAGTTAGCCTCTTTGGTGTATCTTGAAAAGGTAAAATAATCTCTACGTGATTATAATCCAGAAGCCCCAATCCTGGTGATCTTTGCATCAGATGTCACATTTTAAGGTCAATCGAGGGGTGAATACAGATTCAACCAAGAGCGTAGCATCTGGTGTAAATAAATCCACACGCTGAGTTTATGGTTTATTTTATCTATCCATAAAGCCAAGTTGGGCTTTGATAATGGATTTACAATTGTTAAAAAAAAATCATTCTTCAAGTTTTTAATATGACTGCAGAGGAAATCATTAAATGCACAGGGAGTCATTCCATTAGCTGGATTTAACTTTAATTTTATTTAATCAGATCAAGCTTCATTGACTTGGTCCACCCACTCATGGCTCACAATCCAAAAAGAGTTGTAAGTTCTCAGCTTGGCTGTTCTCCGGGAGGCATGTTAAATTTATAACTGACGCACACAGTAGAGCAGAGAATGTGAAACTGGAAATGCTTTTACGCTGGGAAATGGCTGAAAATCACTTCCTTCTTCTTTCATCTCCAGATATTTTCAGTGCCCACCAAAGTTTGGCCTCTTTGCTCCTATCCATAAGGTCATCCGGATTGGGTTCCCATCCACCAGCCCAGCCAAAGCGAAGAAAAGTAAGAGGATGGCCATGGGTGTCTCAGCCTTGGCTCACAGTCCCAGCAGCTCGTCTATCAGCTCTGTCAGTTCCGTGGCCTCCTCCGTAGGGGGAAGGCCTAGCCGGAGTGGACTGGTAAGGTTCATCTCATAGGGATTCAGAACAAGCCTTGATAATGTCTCATGCATGATGGTGTAATCATACAGGTACCATGAATCATACAACAGATGTCTAATGTGTAATGCCTATGTGTCATTTGTCCTTTTTCTAAAAGACCTTTTCAGTGACCATCCAAGCTCCAGCCACAGCATCACTGAGCTTGCAATTCCCTTCCCATTACTTGAGAAGAGAGGATACAAGGACTGTTGCTCAAATATATGGTATATCTCAGGGCAATGTTTCTCAGACGTAGTGATTTGGAAATGTGTGGACTTCAACTTCCAGAATTTCCCAGCCAACATGATGGCTGGGGAATTTGGGGAGTTAAGTCCGCACATCTTCAAATTGCCAAGGTTGAAAAACACTGTTTACTTATGATTGTTTTTTTCTCACACAATTTTGAAAGAGAAATGGACAAGCTGGGATGTACAGCCCAGTTGGTTCTTCCAAGATGGCCTCCATCAACAACCATTGTCCCTGGTGGTATAATCAAAGAGGAAATGGTGACTGGGTTCATACATGGCATTTGAGCCATTTCCTGTTAACTATATTTGAAATCAGAGGTGTCAGACTCAAGGCCCGCGGATCAGAGGTGGCCCACAGGATGCATAGGTCTCACCCGTGGGGCCACCCTGGAAACAGCAAAGGACCAGCCCACAATGTCTTTGCCGGAGAAAATCGAATGTGCAGCCCCCCCCCCCCCCCCCCCCGCCCCACAAGCTCCGTTTTCGCTGGCAGAGGGTTGCAGGAGGCAGGAGTTTGGGAGGCCATTTTTGCTGGCAGAGCACTTGGCCCATCCTGGCCACCACCCTCCATCCCCCACCTCCGCAAGATCAAACAACTTTATGCAGTCCTCAATGAAATCAAGTTTGACACCCCTGTTTTAAATCATAATTGGCTGAAGTCAAGGAGAGATCTAAGCCATAAATCAGGATTTCCAAACCACAGTGATTAGAGTCACATAACATCTAAAGCAAAAACCCATCAAAGGCACCTTTTATCACAGTGCATTGTGTGAACTCAATTGTTGAGTCTGCCTTCTTGGCCTGACTGGCACCAACACCATTTTCATTTCTCTCCTCCTCAGTTCTTCATCTAAAACCCGATATGATAAGTGGATGGTTTTGAGGACAGATTGGGCAGGAAAGAGTTCATCATGTCCAGCTTAAATGCATTTATGTGTTCAGGCTGTATTTTGATGCTCAATTTTGCGGCAATGTTAAAGACATAAAGGAAGTGGCTAACTGAATTTTCTCCATTGTGGTTTTCCAATGCTCCTTCTGCAGCTGACCGAGACCTCTTCTCGCTATGCCCGGAAGATCTCTGGCACGACAGCCCTTCAGGAAGCATTGAAGGAGAAGCAGCAGCACATCGAGCAGCTCCTGGCTGAGCGTGACCTAGAGCGTGCTGAAGTTGCTAAGGCAACCAGCCGCATATGTGAGGTGGAGAAGGAGATTGCCATCTTGAAAGCTCAGCACGAGCAGGTAGGTAGACCTGAGCAGGTGAGAACTGAAACAGGAAGTGTAGTGGTATGTGGGAATGACCTTGAGAGATGGAGGAAGAGATGCTGCCTAGGGAATGGTCATATAAGAGAAATAGCATACAGATGAATAAAGGGCAAAGAAAGAGGCTTAGCCCAGGTTCTCAGGCCGTAAAGGAGATGGCAGGAGAACTGTACTTTCAGACGTGCAAGATTCTGTTAATGTAGCTTTACAATAAAGTAGAACTGTTTTTTCTGGTTGTGTTTCCTGTCAGACCTACCTGAGAAGGTTGACAAGAAGCCAGGAAGGAAAAGCATCTGATTTATAACACAATGAATTATTTATTATTAAGCACTAAGTATGACTTTGGTTTGCAAGCACAAAATAGGTCCATCATTATTAGCAGAAATAATCATTTGTTATTTGGTATCCACCAAGCTTCATCTAAAGCAGGCTTTCCCAACCATGGCAATGTCCAGGTCGATGGCCTTCAAATTCCCGAACCAGCAGGGTCATCAAGGAGAACTCTGAAAGTTGAAGCCCACACGCCTGGAAGTTGCCAAGATTGGGAAACCTAGCACTGAACAGTGTACAGGTAGTCCTGAACTTATGATCACAATTGAGCAAAAATTTCTATTGCTAAGTGAGAAAGTTGTTAAATGAGTATTGCCTCATTTGATGACTTTTCTTGCCACAGTGAATCCCTGCAGTTAGTAAAAACAGTTGTTAAGTGAATCTGGCTTCCCCAGTGACTTCGCTTGTCAGAAGGCGATGGTGAGGATCACCATCAAAAGTGATCATATGACCCTGGGACACTGCCACCCATCAACGAATACGATGTGTTGATGAGGGTGCTGCAACGGTTGTAAATGTGAAAAATGGTTGTATGTCGCTTTTTTCAGTGCTGTTGTAACTTTGGACAGATGGTTGTAACTCGAGGACTACTTGTATAACCAATACGGGGGTCTTACAGATTTTGCTCACCTGCTGCCATCGGCCTTGTCTATGTAGATTGAGGGTGTCAAACTCAAGGCCTGCGGTCTGGATCTGGCCTGCAGGGCTACCCTGGAAACAGCAAAGGAGAGCCCATTTTCACTGCAGAGCACTCGGGCCACCACAAATGCCCCCAACACGAGTGAGGTCAAGTTGGCCACTCCCACCCTGGCCCCCGAGGTCAAAAACAACCCTGATGCGACCTTCAATGAAATCGAGCTTGACAGCCCTGATGTAGATTAAACCTATCTGCTATTGTTCCAGTTGAGTTTATGCTTTTCCATTATCCACATGTACTTGTGCATGCACACATGCTGTAGGTAGACTTTTAGAACATCAGGCAATTCCTGCAGAAATTCTTAGACGTTAAATAAAACTGTTAAGTAAATATACCCCAATTCTGGTTGGCATCATGATGGAAAATTGCCAGGCAGCCTTGTGAAATATCTCCTGAGTTCCTGGGGGGGAAAAAAGGCAGACAGTAGGTAAAATCCTATGGGAAACTAATTTTTGCCAGGTTCATTTATTTTGGTCATTTCCTTTTCTTAGTGAGCAAGAATAACAAGTAAGAGTAGTGAAATTATGACTGTGTGTAATCTGGTACAATGCTGGAAAATTGATTGGGCTTTTTCTTTTTTGTTTCATTTTTAGTATATAACAGAAACTGAGGGAAATTTGCAAAGAGCACGAGCCTTGCTGGAGGGAGCCCAGAAGGAGAAAGTAGAGCTGCTGAACCAGTTAGAAGAGGAGAAAAGGTATCCATAATTTGAGGGTTGGGGAGTTGAAAATAGAATGGATGTGAAATATGACTTGTTTGCTTAAAGGTAATGGTTCCTCCCGCATGTACATGCTAGTCGTTTCCAGCTCTAGTGCGCGGTGCTAATCTCTGTTACAAAGCTGAAGAGCCAGCGCTGTCCAAAGACGACTCCGTGGTCAAGTGGCCGGCATGACTAAACACTGAAGGCACACAGAATGCTGCTACCTTCCCACCACCATAGTGGTCCCTAATTTTCTACTTGCATTTTTATATGCTTTCAAACTGCTAGGCTGGCAGAAGCTGGGAGGAGCTCACTCTGTTACACAGGAGCTCACAGGAGCTAACAGGAGCTCACTCTGTTACACAACACTAGGGATTCGAACCGCCTTTCTGATCGACAAGCTCAGCATCTTAGCCACTAAGCCACTGCGTCCCTTTTGTTTGCTTAGGAGAAGGCAAATAATCAAATTTGGTGGTGCAGTGGTTAGAATGCAGTATTGCAGGCTAATTCTGTTGACTGCCAGCAGTTCGATTCTCACTGGCTCAAGGTTGACTCAGCCTTCCATCCTTTTGAGGTGGGTAAAATGAGGAACCAGATTGTTGGGGGAAAGAGGCTGACTCTGTAAACCGCTTAGAGAGGGCTGTAAAAGCACTGTGAAGCGGTATATAAGTGCTATTGCTGTTAGTGACAATGTATTAATATTGAAGTGGGTCACAGGTAGTACTTGACTTGCAACCACAATTGGGACTGGAATCTTGGTTGTTGAACAAGGCAGTATTGAACACCCAGATTGCAATCACATGACGATGGAAATGCTGCAATGGCCTGAATTTCAAGTACCAGTTGTAAGTATAGGTAGTCCTCGACTTAACAACAAGCATTGAGCCCAAAATTTCCCATTGTCACATGAGACAGTTTTTAAGTGAATTTTGCCCCATTTTGCGACCTGTCTGGCCATCCCTGTTAAATGAATCCCTGCAGTTGGTAAGTTAGTCACAGAATTGTTAAGCAAATTTGGCTTTGTTTGTCAGAAGATCAGAAAAGGGGCTCATGTGACTCTGGGACACTGCAACCATCATAAAAATGAGCCAGTTGCCAAGACCTTGAATTTTGATTACATGACCACGGAGATGCTGCAAACGTCCCTAAGCGTGAAAAACAGTCATAAATCACTTTTTTCAGTGCCATTGTTATTTTGAACACGGAATGAAGTGTCACAAGTTCAAACAGTCACTGAACAAGGGGTCGTTAACCAAGGATGACCTGTAATGTGTTAGGGAGCAGGAGAGAGCCAGCTTGGTGTCATGGTTATAGGGTATCAAGCTAGAAACAGGAAGAGTGAGTTCTAGTCTTGCCTTGGGCATAAACCCAGCTCGATGACCTTGCGCCAGTCATTCTCTCTCAGCCCTAGGAAGGGAACAATGAAAACCACTTCCAAAATCTTGCCCAAAAAACTGCAGGGATTTATCCAAACAGTCACCAGGAGACAATGCTGACTAAAACAGAGGGGGGGGAAAAGGAACATTAGGAGTGATGATCATTCTATAAACAGCAATACATCAACTTGTTTGAGCTCCATTTCATAATCTGAGCTACATGGTATAAGAGAGTGGACGTAATAACTTTGGAAATTTTTCCACGTCACCGCTTTCTTCTGACTTTTCCCTCCTTTTACAGGAAGGTAGAGGATTTACAGTTCCGAGTTGAAGAAGAATCCATTACAAAGGGAGATTTGGAGGTAATCAACAGCATGGGCTTTCTTTATTAGAATTTATGCACTAGCCGGAAGGATTGATGATCTCTTCTGCACTGATTCCCTGTCATCTCCTTGTCTTTTAATAAATTGAGTTTTGATTGGCTAATGCGGGCTCTTACGTGTGTTTTGCAGAATGGCATAGGCAAAATAACATCGCGGGGTGTCCCACAGAGAATTTGACTAGTCTGTTTTTTATAGACAATCACTGAAACGGGGTGTGTGTTGTGTTCCAATTTTTATTTGCTTATTTTGAACTGTTCTGGAACTTGTTTGGCTCAGTAAATTAGTGTGTAGATCACATCACAAGCAAGGGTAAAGATCACGTATGCTCACTTATTCTAGTTTTATTTCTAATTTAAACAGAATCTGTTTGAGTTCTTAGTAAGTAAGGAAAATGGTATCTCCAGCTTACTCTACTTTGTAAACTCTTATTTCAACAAAGATTATATAAAACCTAACAGATTTCTAGTATTCACGTAGGAGCTGTTTCATTGTTCCCAATGGTTATCAACACCATCCTATACAAGTGTACTTAGAACTAAGCCCTATTGATTTCAATGGGACCTGCTCCCAAATGCTCTAGGGTTCTAGATGTTGAATTTCAGCTCCCTTCATTCATTAGCAATCATGATAGCCCAGTTCCCATGCATCTGGAAGGCACAAGGTTTGGGAAGGCTGATGTACGAAATATCCGTTCCTAGAATAAAATTAGATTTAATTCAGAAGGGAATGCGTATTACGTTAAGCGCCAATTAATACAGCATTCATGCACATCTGCTGGCAGTCTGACCTGGACAAATAAGGCTGAGTTAATATATCCTAATTTTGATGTTCTGTTTGTGGTCCAAATGCACAAAAATTGCCACAATCAATGTTGTGTTATGCTCCCTTGGGTAAAATAGCTTGTGCACACTAGCATGATGCAAAAGAGAGACTACTAACATCCATGCTTTTCAAAGACTGCTCCCCTGATGCATCTGACTCAAAAGTTCTCAGATCATTATTTTTGGGAGTGAGCAAAACTGCCTGAGTTGGCAGCAGTTCCCAGGCTCAGTGACCTTCTAAAATGGATGCCTGTGGAGATTCTCAGTCATCCAGGTCATGGTTCTTCCAAAGGTGCTTTTTCAAAAGACAGCAGTTTTTCCTTGGAGACGTTGCGCTTCTCATCCAGTTCTGACTTCAGAACTAAAGAAGCTTCTTGGATGAAAAGTCTTCAAGGAAAAACAACAACATCCTGTTGCCTTTTGGAAAGAAAAAAAAAATCACCTTTGGGATGTCTAAGATGGATTTGACATGAATTGTGGCCAAGCATCTTATCTCTGGACCAATAACTGATGCGAGGAGATTGTCTGGAGCAGCTGTTTGGGAGGGGAATTCAACTGGAGTTGTGACACACCAATGCATTTAATAGACTGTGTCTGTGTTTACAGTTGTGAAGCGGATTGACTTGAAAACTGCCTTTTTTGCAAAATCGTTGCATTCACATCTTGCATCTTGTGTGGATAGCTGGCCCTGTGTTTACCAATCTGGTCCTTCTCCCCGTCCCTGTTGTGTAAACTGTCTTTCTTCATTTTGTATACTGAAGAAGATAATTTGCAGGCATCTCCATTATGATTATTGTTATTATTCCCTTGTTCTCTCCTGTTTGCTTTCTTTTCTTCCTTTGGTTTCCTTCCTGATGTGTGACCAGACTCAGACGCAGCTGGAGCATGCTCGAATACGGGAGCTCGAACAGAGCCTCCTGTTTGAGAAGACCCAGGCAGCAAAGCTTCTCAGAGAATTGGAGGAGAGCAGGGTAATCCACCCAAACACCTTTGCTGCCCCACCTCATGCTAGCCAACGCCTGCAGATTCAATTGCTTGCTGGCTATGTTGATAACTCCCTATAGTTTTTTGTTTTTTTGTTTTAATTTGAGCTTCCATGTTTCATGTTAACATCTCGTTTTGCAATTACTCCCCATGCTCTCCACAATTTCTTCTCCATTTCTCTGGAGATGGTAACACTTTGTAGTTTTGCCTTCTTGGTCTATTGGACGAATCCTTCTTTTGATTTCCATTCTGCAGCTTTCCATGCTATCATTTGGATTGGACCGACTTTGCCACTCATCATCCAGTTTAACAATAATCATCGGTTGAATACAGAAAGCTATTTACCTGATGATAGGCTCTTGGCTTTGCAAGCAGTTGTGTCTTTTCATGGTGGTATCCCATGAATAAGAGGCTGTTCTTCTGTCTCCAACCTCACCATCGCACCCCATTGGAAAGCAGGGGGGAGGAGGCACAATTCGTTCCCCCCTTTTCCCCTCACCTGAAACCCCTCGCCAGCTCTCTCCATGCAATTCTCTGCACGTGACTTGGCCCTTGGTAAATGGCAAGCTGTATTCACCCATCACCATTGCAGAGTTGCTTGGGCCCCCAGGAATTCTGCATCATAACTTAATTCTGCAGGTTCAGCGTTTTGGAAAGCATGGTAAAAACAAGGATGTAGGTGTCAGGATTCTTATCGAAAAGGATGGCATTAGGTACTGGGATAAAGCTGGGTCCTTGAAGATCTATCTCTTTTTGCTGTGCCTATTTCATCTACCCGAATTTAATCTAATAGCCTGCTCATTTTTAATCCTGGATCTTAGAGTACAGGAGGATCCTATATACTTGCCGATAACTCAGAACAGACTTACAAGCCCTGTCTATCATGTATCGTCGAGTCATATTCAAAGCAGGGATGGGCCGCTACCGGTTCACACTGGTTCTGGTGAACCGCTAGCTAATTTTATGGCCAGTTTGGCAAACCAGCGAATCCCACCCCTGGCTGGCCCTGCCCACCCCTCCCTCCCCTCCCAAGAGTCCCCATGTGGTCTGATTTGGATCGCAGGTAAGTACGGAGGCTCGGAGAGGGTGAAAAACAGGCCTCTCGGAAGTTCTGGAAGGCCGGAAACGGGAGGCCATTTTCACGCTCTCAGAGACTCGACAAAGGCCTCTGGAGCCTGGCGGGTGGAAAACGGGCCTCCTGGAAGTTCTGGAAGGCTGGAAATAGGCCCATTTCCAGCCTACGGAGATCCTCTGGAGCCCAGGGAGGCCATTTTCGCCCTCCTAGAGGCTCGAGGAAAGCCTCTGGAGCCTCTGGAGGGTGAAAATGCCCCCCCCAGCCCATTTTTGCTCCCAGACCAGGGTGGTGCAGGAGGCTGAGTAGGCCACGCACACCATGGCCATGCCCATCCAGCAACCAGGCAGAGAAACGGTTGCTAAATTTTTTGAAGCCCACCCCTGATTCAAAGCCTGGAGTGTATTTCATGCCTGGGAACCCGATTTTGTCCCTGTGGAGTTATCCAAGGGAACAGGGAATTTGAAAGGCCCCATCAATCTGCAGACAAGTGTAGTAGATATATTGGTCTTTGGGCACACTAATAGTCTCTCATGACATCACCATGTACGAAAAATGCTGTCAGGTTTCAGTGAAAGTTCAAATAGCTCTTTTTTCTAGCCTGTTTTGCAATTTGACAACCCTATAAGAGATTCAGAAAATTCAGAAAATTCCAAATTAAAATCCCTTTCAGCAACAAGAACCAGGCATTCTGGATTTGGTGCTTAAGTCTTCTAGAATGTTGTGTTTTCACGCGTAATTCTTAATCCCATAGTTAGACATAGCTTCTGGGTACCATATTCTTTTAGTTTATTCATTTGATTAGATTTATTATTAGATTTCTTCCAAGAGACTGAAGTAATTCCATGGAGATTTCCTTTTATTTTATCCCCACAATAGGATCCCTTGAGATAGGTTGGACTCAAAGAGGAGGAGTGACCTAAAGCCAGTCCCTTATGAACTTTAACGGGTGAAGGTAGACTAGAACAAGGGGTATGTTTCTTGTACAGGTAGTCCTTGATTTATGACCACAATTGGGTCATAACTGTGGACTCCCTGTTGCTAAGTAAGGAGGTTGTTAAGTGATTGGTGCCCAATTTTATTAATCATATGACCTTGGGAAACTGCAGCCATTGTAAATACCCAAATTTTGATCACATGACTGTGGGGATACATGTTCTAGTTGTCATTTTCTTCAGTGCCATTAGAACTTTGAATGGTTGTCAAATGAATGGTTATAAGTCAAGGAGTACTATAGTTCACCTGTAGTCGTATACCACATTGAGTCTTGGGATTGGCCCAAAGTCTCTGGGAAAACTTCTGTGACTAAGGGACACTAGATCCTGGATCTCCTATTCCTAGTCCAGCATGATCACCACTACGCTATATTGGCTGAGAGAGAAGCAGAAAAGCCAAAAGTCACTCGGTGAATTTCTAATGGAGAGTAAGGTTAACCAGAACTCAGGCCTCTCCCAGGTCTAGTCCAAGTTAGCCACTATACCAAGAACCACTGGTTCTCGATCCCCATCTATCAGTCTTTTGTGAAATCTATAGTATCTTTAAAAGAAAAAGAATCCTTTATCATGTGCAGTATTTTTAATTTATGATTTTCACCTCTGATGATGCCAGGATTTATCCATAGTTTGCCACCGTTCTGATCAAGGATGTATGGTGTTTTGTTACTAGACATAGGACTCATATATACAAAAATGATTCAATTTTTGTTTCTTTCTTTCATTATTATCGCTATATACAAAACCAGGAAAGCGGCTTATTCACATAGTCCTTTGGAGTTTTTCCTGCTAGTGCTTTTTTTTTCTCGATTTGTTTAGATTGAACTATTGTTAAATATTTGTAATTTTGCCTCAAGCTACTGGAGATGAGTGGAATATAACTTCGACAACATAAATAAATCAATTTGTGCTGTTATTACCCATTCTTCCCTCCAAAAAAATCTAAAAATTATCAGTACAAAAGGTAATACCAATATGGATAAAACAGGGCTATACTAGAGGAAATAATTTCCAAAACATAGTTGCTGTTCAAAATGGAGGGCTACATCTCTTTGTTATGTAGAAAAGTGTCATCTGTGTAACTGCTGCTGTCCAGATGTTAACTGTCTAGGGGCAACATAAAAGGTCTGTATTGATCTCTTTTTAAAAAAAAGATTTTTGGTTTTAAAAACCAATTGCTTCCTCTCACCAGTTGAGGAATTTTATGGGAATGAAGCTTGACCCTTTGGGTTCTGCCAGAAGCATGCTTTGGGAGTAAATGAATGTTAGAACATTCTGGTCAATTTTGCTTTGTTTATTAATAAACTTTCAGAGAGGAAAAACGTATTGTGAGTCGGATTTGGCTTAGGAAAATTCCTTCTCTTGATAAAATTCATCCATCACACTAAAATATAATGTATTTTAAGATTAGCATCTATGACCTAATCAGTGTGATGTGCTGCTGTAAACATGGGAAGAGGCTTAGTTTCTGCTGCCCCAAGGAATAAGATTATATTTGTGTTTGTTTGTTTTTTGAGTTCTGGTGTTCAGTTACTCAATTTGTGTAGCTGTCCACCTCAAACCAATGACAGTAGGAAACAAACAAAACAATTAAAACACAATACAAAAAAAAAAGAAATCAAATATGAAATTATAAAATAAATAAAAATTAAATATAAATAGCAGCCAAGAGATATTATAATTCATCGGTATCTTTAAAAAAAGCCAGGAAATAGAATCCTTCACGTAGTTGGGACCTGGGCGTATTTCCAGGTTTTCAAGACCTTCCAAAAGACCAATGGGCTTCGAGCCATCCTCATCTCAGGATTGGGTTTCATGAGATTTTGATAGAGGAGAAGAGATTTCAAATGGACCTTAGGAGAAACTTTTGGAGTCCTAAGAGCAGCTCAATTAGTAACATCTACTATTGTGTGACAGGTAGGCAGATTCCCCCTTGCTGTGACCTCAAATATGTAGCTCTGATTTTCCTCTATTAAGCAAAGGTTTGGGTCTGAAACGTTTGTGTCCTCCTCTAACTTTCCACTCTGAATGTTTAGAGCTAGTATTGCAGTTGATTCAGCGGAACAGCCTTTATTGACAGATTTCTATTTCCTTTTTACCATGATTCATAAACCGAATGTGCTGTGCCCCATCAGTTTCCCAGCTGCTTCTAAGGCCCATCATTAAACATTAACCATGGTCAGCAGTTTGCTTATACATCCAGCACCATTCCTTACATATTCCTTTAAAACATTTCTGTTAATAACTTCTAACCAATTTCCACAGGTGGGTGGGAGGGTGGTTAGTTGGTTGGCTGGCTGGCTGATACTTCCTTTTACACCAGGGTAAACTATGCTACGAGCAAAGGGTCAGTGACTATAGAACAATTGAGCAAACCCAAATCTGACATGACCCAATTTAGCAGATTAGGGTTGAGAGTTGAAATGCCTTTTCATAGCCTTATGAGAAATAATCTGATATCAGCTGACAAGAATGATGCCATTTATTTATTTATTTATTTATTTATTTTTCTTACTTTACTTTGTACTTTCAGCAGTCCACTATGCTGAACAAAAGGTTTGTTTTCAAGATGGAGAATGCTGGGACTGAAGGAGTAAGTTTTCAAAAGCTGCCCAGCATGCCTGCTAAACTCTCGAGTCTTGAGGTATTTAATCTACAGTGTTTCTCAAACTTGGCAACTTTTAAGGCACATGGACTTCAACTCCCAGAATTCCCCAGCCGGCTGGCATGCTGGCTGCGGAGTTCTGGGAGTTGAAGTCCATACATCTTAAAGTTGCCAAGTTTGAGAAATCCTGGTCTATAAGTGATAAAGATGATTGCAGAGTTGACAGAGGGAATAGATTGCAGTCAAAAGTTTGAATTGTAGCATCACACCAGTGGTGCAATGAAATCCTAATTGAGGGGGGACCAGCATGTAGCATTCCAGACAGCAAGTGGCCAATGTGTTATGGGGAAGGGAAAGGGGTTTTGTGCAGAAAACATATCCTGCGTTATTTTCTACCCACTCTCATTCAATCTGAGAAAAAAAAAATGTGTTTTTAAAGATTTCTTTTAAAGTGGAAGAGATATTATTGAAATTCTTATGGATAAAGGGTTGTTATGTTTAATTACAAAATGGCCAAAGTGTATATGTCAATATCCCGTCTTTTGTTCTACATTATTAGCCTCCCTGCCTTCTCATATTGAATCCTAAATTATAACATCAGGAGCTGTTTCTACGGCAGAGGTCTCCAACCTTGGCAACTTACGGCAACTACCAACTCCCAGAATTCCTCAGCCAGCAGCTGAAGTTCACAAGTCTTAAAGTTGCCAAGGTTGGAGACCCCTGTTCTAGGGAACTTTTCAGATTAGGAAGTGTGGCCACTCAGGGAGGCTTCAGAGCAGTGGGAAAAGATGCTACAGAAGACGACCTCTCCAGTCCTCATTAACAGTAATTCTAACTTAAATCTGAGCTGAGAAATATGGCCAAGGCTTTTTGATGTTGCTTAAGAAGAAGACAGGAAACACTTTTTCCCGAGGAAGTAATTTTTAGAAACCTCAAAATAATTCATGACGTAGTATTAGGAAAAAGAAAAAAATTGCCTTTATTTTGTTTCAAGTAGAGGTAGTCCTTGACTTACGCCCACAATAGAAACAGTAATTTCTATTGTTAAGCAAGTCAGTTGTTGAATGAATTTTTGCTCCACTTTATAACTTTTCTTGCCACAGTTGTTAAGGGAATCACTGCAGTTTGTTAAGCTGGTAACACGTTTTTAAGTGAATCTGAGTTCCCCATTGCTTGTCAGATGGTCGCAAAAAGGTGAGCCTATGGCCCTTCAATTGTCATTAAATAGGCGTCAGTTGCCAAGCATCTGAATTTTGATCACGTGACTTGGGGGATTCTGCAAGGGTCGTAAGTTTGAAAAATGGTCGTAAGTGACTTTTTTCAGTACCACTGTAGCTTTGAACAGTCATTAAATGAACTGCTGTAAGTTGAGGACCACCTGTAAGCACAGCAAGGGAAGAATTTTTATCCCCGTGTTGCCATTTTCTTCTCATGAGAAGCTGTATCCGTATAACTTTGCTGTCTCATCTGCACTCATTTTTCCCAATGGCTATTCTGATTGTAAATTGTGGAATTTTCATCCCCACCATATGGAGATCACCAGATTATAGGAGTATTGATTACAGGAGTTTTTTTTTTTTTTAAAGGAGAAGCGGTGATGCTTCCAGGCAAGTTTTTTTTCCTATTGCTTTCTAGAAAATTGCAAAAGACAGAATTGAACATAGTCCGATTCCAAAAGAAAGAAAAGCTCGATGGAAAATTTACCCTGGTGCAAAAACAAAAAAAGAAAAAAAAGGAAATCTAAAGCCTTCAGAGAATAAAATCTGTTTTACTGCATAGGTATTTGTAAGCTGCAATTATTCCTTTTCTAAGAGCTTTTTCACACATTTGGTAGCAAAATAGTAATAATAATCCAGTATGCTAAGATATTTGTAATCCCTCTTCTGTCCATGCTATAGGATGTTAGCAATACCAACACAAAAGACATTGGCATAATTTATTTAGGCAAGTTGGTTAAGATGTAACTTACTGTAGCTACAGCCCATTTGCTAAATTATTTTGAGAACCCAGAAAACAATGTTGACCGTGTTGTATAAACATTTCATTTCATTCATATTCTTACAGTTACAGATTCAGAATTCTGGCGGTTGTAGCCCAGCACTTTAGCTGTGCACTAGACTGGGAAGGGTTGGTTAACACTTTTATGCATCCCTAGAAGATCTTATATTATACAGTAATATACTTTAAAAAAAGAAAGCTTCCACAATGAGTGAAGAAGCTCTTTGGATTTTCAAGTACAGGGAAACTATGGCCATCCAGGTGTTGTTGACTCCATCAGTCCTAGCCAATGGTTTTGGATGGATGATGGTCAGCTACATTCTGATGACAACTGGAGGGCTGCAAGTTACCCACAAATGCATATGAAAATGCAATCACTGATTCTAATGCATGCTTGTATCCTTTTCATAATCTCTTTCAGTTAACTACCGTGGCAGAGAAGTCAAGAATCCTTCAGCTCGAGGAAGAGTTGACCTTGAGGCAAAGTGAGGTTGTGGAGTTGCGGCAATGTTTAAAGAATTCCCATCAGCCAGAATCTCCAGATCACAGCCTGGGCCTGCAGACAGAAGCTCTCCGCTTACGTGACCAGCTGTTTTCAGCCAACAAGGAGCACCAGAAAGAGAGTATCCAACTGAAAGAGAAGTATGAGAGGACTTTGAAGAAGCACCAGCAGGAGGTTGAAAAGTTGAAAGCTGTCAATGAAAAGTACTCCCAAGAAATTGTGGACCTCAAACAAAAAGTTCAGCAGGCCACCAATGAGAACATGGGCTTAATGGACAACTGGAAGTCAAAGCTGGATATGTTAGCATCAGACCATCAGAAATCATTGGAGGATCTCAAGGCTACTTTGAACACAGGCTCTGACAGCCAGCATAAGGAAATTGTGGAGCTGAAAGCTGTAGTAGAAAGCATCAAATTGGAGCACCACTTAGAGCTGGAGAACCTAAAAGCTAAGCATGACATTGAGATGGCAGTTCATATTAAAGAGAAGGAAGGCCTTAAGCTGAAGGTACAAGAAGTCAAGGAGGAAAAGGAAGAAAGCGACAATAATTGGAAGAGCCAGTTGGAAACCAAAACAAACCAGCAGCTTATGGAACTTCAGGACCTGAAGGATAAATGTCGAGATGCTGACCTCAGAGTTCATGAACTGGAGAAGCTACACAGTGATTACAAAGACCAGGCACAAGCCATAGCTTTCTTGAAAGAGCAGATCTCCTTGGCTGAGAAAAAGATGTTGGACTATGAGACCCTGCAGAAAACTGAGGTTCAGAGTAAACAAGAGATTCAGCGGTTGCAGGAGAAAGTTCTTGTGTTAGAGAATAAATTGCACTCCATGGAGCCCCTCCACCCTTCCCAACCCACCAATGTGAGTGTTTGAATTGAAAGGCCAGTGTCCACGAGTAGCTATGGGCTTTTTAAAAGAAATTTGTCATGGATCCCTATCTTTATTATTTTGTTTTTTTATTTTACTTATTAATATATAAATGAAAGAGTCCAACATTTAAACAGCTTAAGCTGTTAGCTAGATTTTTTTTTTTCTAAACTGGCCACTACGTGAGGCAGCTTGAATTCCTTCAAAAGGAAGTTCAACCATCAACAAACATGGATTAATTAATGATTTTGGACATTCATTCATTCATTCATTCAGGGTTCTACTTTGTTTATTATACTTAATTCATACATTAATGAATCAACGTTTATTTTTCCTTGTGAATTGAGGTACATTAGGATAAGTAGGTTCTTGAGAACTTACTATTTCAGAGTATTGAGGAAATATACAGGTGGAAGAAGGAAAACAGGCTGAAATGGTGATCCCTTTAAATCTTGGTTTCTATAAAATCCTGATTCTCCAGAATTTGCACGCAGTGGACAAATTAAATCGTGTTTATCATTTACATAATAATATACTATTGTAATTTATATAACTTGCATGATTACATCATATTTATGTCATTTATGTCATTTTCATGACATTGTTACTCCAACAGCATAAATTACATTTTGCTGATAAATTCTTAAGATTCAAAGGATTTTTTAGAATTATGGAAATCTTCCCCCAATTAATATTTCAAAATGACGTTTCATTAAAGGAAAATATTTATATACAAGGGTTGAAGTCAGGGGTCCCTGGTGCTCTCTGAGCTTGGTTGTCTTCTTGCAGACCTTTCATTACCAAACCAGGTAATATCATCAGTGATGATGTTACCTAGCTTGGGGAATCAAATGTCTGCAAGAAAACAACCAAACTCAAAAAGCACTGATGTTTCATTGTAATGCATAGTTAAGGAAGTAAGTCAAAGCCATTTCAAAAAAAGGACATACTATATCCTATTTCAAGGATTAAAGTAAGAGAAAATTGAAAAATGTAAGGGGAAGATTATGCCAATGGTAACATAGAGGGGACTGTGAAGAACTTATTCTGAACATAATTAAATGATTGCAGTAGGAAGATATTCAGTAATCTCAACTTGGTGGAATTCATTAGAAAAAGGAATCAAACTTTAAATTTCTATTAACTTGCAACTATTCAGTTAGCAACCATCCAAAGGTACATTGGCACTGAAAAAGATGACTTATGACCAGTCCTTGCATTTATGACTTGTCACAGCATCCTCGGTATCATGTGATCAAAATCGGAGCATTTGGCAGCCTGCATGTATTTTATCATCCCAGGGGGATGTGATTGCCATTTGCAACTTCCCAGCTGGCTTCCGACACACAAAGTCAATAAGGGGTTATCAATAAGGACTATCTGCAATGCTATACTACAACTCCCTGTTTCTTAACTTTGGAATAAGACAAGCTATGAAATCGTGATTGAAATGAATTTAACATTCCAAAGCTTCTGTTGAAGCTGGGAACAATGATTTTGTTAAGACAGGAAACTGATTTGGGGGTTCATAGATCAGTTTGAGTCCACAGGTGATAAACTACTAGCTACAAAACTTCTGGTTTGATTGCTGCAAGCCACAAAATTTGATTGCATGCAAGAGAGAAAGCTCATGTATGTTTTATTAAGACGCATCATTTATTCATTCAGAGGTTACAAAGCTTGTTTCAATAGTTCATGAGATTTTACTTTGATATGATAAAAGCAAAACATTCGATCTTTACTGGAGGGTATGTATAAAACTAGCCATGTCTGTCATAAATCAATGGAAGGTATAAACATGGAAGAGAGCCAGTTAATGTAGTGGTTAAGGCCCCCATAGTAGAAATTGAAACTGGCAGTTCTAGTCCTGCTTAAGCACAAAGGCAGCTGGGGCCAGTCACTCTTTCTCAGCTCTAGGAAGAAGGCAATGGCAAGCCAAGAAAGCTTCAGGAAGTTTATCCAGGCAGTTGCCAGGAGTTGAAACTGATTTGAAGGCATAAATAGACATAAACATTAAAAGCACCAATAGAATTGATTTCAGGTGTTGTCCAGAAGATCTGATGGGTATGCACATTTGTGCATCCTTCATTCAATTCACATTAACCAATATTGTTTATGGTTTTTTTATGTTTCTTTAGATGATTGAAACAAATGACATTTCAGAAGAAAAGATCAAAATGAAACAAGCAATGGAAGGTAAGAGTGCATCACTTTTTGGGATCGTGGACTTGAACATAATGAATAGAAATACTGTATTGCTTCATTTGACAGAAGTTTCTGTTCCTGCTTGGGTCATCACTCACTATTTTCATCTAAATCAGGAGTCTCCAACCTTGGCAACTTTAAGCCTTGGTGGACTTCAACTCCCAGAATTTCCCAGCCGGCAAAGCAAAGCTGGCTGAGGAATTCTGGGAGTTGAAGTCCACCAGGCTTAAAGTTGCCAAGGTTGGAGACTCCTGATCTAAATGCTGTGCTCAGGCCTACAAAATGCCCCTCACCCAAAAATGGTAGTATCACCTGGTACAGGACTACAGCTCTGGCTTATATACAGTCTGCTCCTCTTTAGAAGTTGAGAGTTTGGAAACCTGTGGCCCACTTTCATCTGCCTTTTGACAAAGAACTTCTACCAGTGTTATCTCAGACTTCTGCTAAAGCTGCTTCTCTAGCATTGAGGAAAACTGAAAGCACAAGAAGAAATGCCCTGATCCAGTTACATTGCCTTTCTCCTAAACATATAATTTAGTGAAGAAGACATGCCTTCAGGCTAATGAAAAAGAATTCCCAAGCAGAGTTCCTTAGTTTGGTGTCCTCCTAAATACGTTGGACCCCTATGTGCTTTGGTGTGGGCTTAAATGGAGGTTGGGGTTTTCAGGGGTGGGATTCAAATTTTTAACAACCGGTTCTATGGGCGTGGCTTAGGTGGTGGGCGTGGCTTGGTAGTCATGTTAGGTGGACGTGGCTTGGTGGTCATGTTATTGGCTGGGTGTGGCCAACTCAACATCACTCACATCGAGGCACACATCTGCTTGCCTGGCCTTTTGTGACTGTGGGGATGCTGCAACAGTCGTAAGTGTGAAAAATGGTCATAAGTCACTTTTTCAGTGCCATTGTAACTTTGAATGGTCACTCCACACAAGCAAAGTATCAGCAAAGGAGGGAAAAAGAAACTCCAGAGAAGTTCCAGAGACAAGAAGTCTAGTCCTGCCAAGAATGTAATAAGGGTTAATGGAGAGGCAGTTTCCTTAAGCAACACCAGAATGTTTCCTTCCTGCCTTCCTTACAGGATTAGTCCAGTAATTTCTTCTAACAACTGGTTCTCCGAACTGCTTAGAATGTTAACCGGTTCTAGCAAATAGGTGTGAATTGGTAGAATCCTACCCCTGGGGGTATTAAAGTATTGTTTTCAGCAATTCCTTTACTTCTACAGATTTCCAGGACAAATTGAGTAAGAAAGACAAGGAGGTGTCATCACTTGTCTCCCAGACGGATACTCTAAGGGCCCAAGTAAGTGGTAAGTCTCAATGGGCTGGTGTTGGTCAATATGGAAGTATTTTGGTCGTGTGTGCAGTGGTGGAATTCAATTTTTTTTACCACCGGTTCTGTGGGTGTGGCTTGGTGGATGTGGCAGGGGAAGATTACTGCAAAATCCCCATTCCCTCTGTACCCCACTAACCTGCTTTCCAGCTCCATTCTCCTGTGCAGGGCAACAGAAGAAGACCCAGCCAATCAGCTGGGACTCGGGAGGCAGAAAATAGATGGGGGCTGAGCCAGTCAGAGGTGGTATTTTCTGGTTCTCTGAACTACTCAAAATCTCCGCTACCGGTTCTCCAGAACTGGTCAGAACCTGCTGAATACCCACCTCTGGGCATGTGCATAGGAATGTTTATGCAGTGTCAAAACTGCATTCCTTCAGAATAGAGATGATCTGATAAGAAAGAAAATAAAGAATTTCCTACCTGTAAAAAACAAGCAAATAGGGTGGAAAGGAAGGATAGAGTAGGCCAGTGATGGTGAACCTTTTTGACACAAAGTGCCCAAACCGGAACACGAACACACACCAGAGTGCTGGATACCTAAAGACCAGCTGGCCAGTGCGCATGCATGTGCCGGCCAGCTGGTCTTTGGGTTTCCGGTGCTCCACCATGCATGAAGACCAGCTGGCCAGTGCTGGAAACTGGAAGAGCAGCTGGCAACAGTGCACATGCCCACAGAGAGGGCTCTGGTGCCACCTCTGGCACACATGCCATAGGTTCACTATCAAGGGACTAAACTAAAATGTCAATTCCATAGGTTCAGCAATTTTTTCTATTTTAGGAGAGATGGGAGAATTTGTAATGGTTGGCATTTTAATTGGTGGAGCTGAAAAATTCACCTCCCCTACTTAAGATGACTAACCAGATTTGGGTGATATTGCACCAACTCATGATAATTTATTTGTCTCTGATCTGTTGGCTACGATGGCTAGAGCTTATGAGAGTTGTACTTCAGCAACATCTAGGAAGTCTCAAATTCTCCACTCCAGATGCATTAGCCCAACCTGGCTCGTGCAAACGTTTTTCTCTCCCTACCTTGCCATGGGCTCCAGTTCGGTTTATTCTGTGTTGTTGTTTTTTTGTTCTCCCATCTTCTCTTTCTTTCTGTTTGCCAGCACTGGAAAATAGATGCAAGAGCTCTGACAAGAAGGCGGATTCTTTGTTGAAAGAAAAGAAAAGGCTGGAAGCAGATCTAGAAACAATGTCAAGAAAAACCCACGATGCTTCTGGTCAGCTGGTTCTGATCAGCCAGGAGCTATTAAAAAAGGAAAGGTCAGTCTTCTCTCCACCCAGAGACAGCATGACATATTTAGAGCATTGGGATTAGGAACCCCAGTTATGATAATAATAGAATCTATAAATGGTTCCAAGGAAACCTTGGCTTCTATGCAGAGTACTGACCCTACTCGTTTTGGGGAGAACTCTAAAGCTGGAAATGTCTACTATAAAACATTCTGATTATTCTGAAGTTTCCTGAATGGGGCAGCTTTTCAGCATCTTCCAGGTAATATCATTTAGAATTTCCAACCTTTGAGTAAGCAGGTTCTAAATTCAGGAAATTCCTATCCTAAACATTAGTAAGAAAAACTAGGTTAGGAAAAGTCTATAGTTCCAAAACAGGTAAGAGTCTGCCTTTCTGTCTTTCTGACCTTTCTTTCTGTCTTTCTGTCTTTCTGACCTTTCTTTCTTTCTTTCTTTCTTTCTTTCTTTCTTTCTTCCTTCCTTCCTTCCTTCCTTCCT